TCAAATTTTCAATTACAGAGTTGCATTTCAAGTAAAAATGATTAAATTTTGACAAGACATGTTGATTGATAGAATACAGTTTAAGAAGAGGAGCAGAATGTATATAATATTTTTTTTAGAAATGAGATACATATCGATATATATAACTGCATTATAACTATTTTTAACTAATAATAAGGTTGATCTTTTATTCTATCATGACGCGTCGTAATGAACAATACTTTTGATGACACTCAGTGAGATCAAGAAAGTCACGTAAGTAGCAACAGTAATATGGTTGCTACCATTACTGATGCTACCACCACTACTGATGCTACCACTACTATTGATACTTATGAGAGCTTTCGAAGCTCAAGAAAATGTCACTGTCCCAGTGGTTCTGAAAAAAAAAAGTTTTATTTGGAAATATTTTATCAAAAAAAATAATCCTAGTGAACCTGGTAAAATCATGATTTATTCCCTTAATCTTGTGAATGGTAAACCATGTCAAAAAACATACACTGCTTTCAGCAGTACTAGCAATGCTATCCAACATCTTGCAAGTATTCATGCTATCATTGAACAAGAAAAACTTCATATCAAGGTAAAGTTTTTTTTATTAGTTTCAAGTAAAATTTATTAATACATTGCTTTTAATAGTCTATAAAAAGTGGAAATATTAAAGATATGTTAGAAATGCAAAATCAACAACGTTGAACAGAAACTTAACAACTAGTGGCAAATCGCAAACTTACAAAATAAATTCTTCATTTCACCAAATCTATTAATACCGTTAACAATACTACTTTTGAAGATTTTCTTAATTATTTAAATCTAAACTACAAATTACCAAACGAAAAAAATCTCAAACTTTTAATTCATCAAGCATATGATTGGACTGAAGGATTGATGAAAGAACTTCTTTTATCTTCCGCTAAGTACATTTCACTCACCACTGATTTATGGACATCTCGCGTCAAACAAGAATATATTGGTATTACTGCATCATTTATGAATTCTGATTTTAAAATTTATGATATTTTGCTCAAGTTGGAATATTTATCATACCCACATACTGCTGAATATATTCGAGATAAGATTCAATTAATTATTGAAAAATGGAGCTTGCAGAAAAAAGTGATTGCTATTGTAACTGACAATAGATCAAATATGATTAAAGCTATATTATATTTAAATAATATTACGCGAATACCATGTACAGCACATACACTTCAGCTCGCAATTGGAAAAGGATTAGCACTTGTCTTGGTTTTTATTTCTCGCGCCAAATGCTTAAACCAGTTTTTTACATATCCCAAACAAATAGAAAGACTTCAAACAATTCAGACTTCCTTAAACTATCCAAAAATTTTAGGTGTAGTTTGTGATGTAAGCACTCGTTGGAATTCATCATATTTAGTATGGGATCGATTACTTTATTTAAAAGATGCAATTGATTAATTGGCAATTGATTTATCACGAAATCAGGATAGTACAATAAGAAAAGATGAACATTGTCTTAAAAAAATTAATTTTACGGATGATGAATGGATCTTTATGAAATATTTGGTTAATTTACTTGAATTATTTGAAGAAGCCACCATTTTTTTAAGTAGTAGTATCTATGCGACACTTAGTCTAATGCATCCTATCATTTCTGAATTACAAAAAGTATTTGAAGATAAAACTTTATTAGTATTATCAGAAGCTATAGATTTTGCTATAGATACGATCATATTAGATAATGAAGACGAACAAGAATTTGTTGAACAACAAGAAAATGATGAAGAAAAAGTTATCAATCCTATAACTCAAAATTATGTACAAATTAATCAGCCAATGATCACAGAGGGTGTAATTGAAAGAATTAAGAGTATTATTGTTCAAGCATTACATTAATATTGGAAAATTCTATCTGATATCGCTTTAAAAGCAGCATTTTTAGATCCATGATTCAAAGATTTAGCTTTTGCATGAGATGAAAAAAATTGAATTATTCAATTAATTCGAGATGAACTATATCAATTTTCTAATTATACCAATTCCACATCT